CAAAACACGTACAAAAGACAACAGAAGTGCTCCGGGATGCTGGGCGCAGTGTTGAGCTTTTGTTACCTAGAGGCTACACAAGCCAGCAAGTACCAATGACCGGATTTGGTGTGTGATAGTAACAGGTAAATGTTGTGTATAAATACACTTTCAATTGTGTAATTTAAGTGATCTAGGTAGCTGATCTAGGAAGTTCAGTTAACGCTAGAAATGTGTTTTGGAGTTTGTATGTGTTTTGTCTCTAGGGGCCACCGTATATATTTTTATATAAACATATATAAATAAAACCACATCTTTTTTTACGTTAGTAATTCCTTTTGTGCATAATTTTATATTATTGTTAATAATAAATTAATTAAAGCAACAAAACAACCGGAAGAGCTCTTTTTAGTGAGCCGAGCCGAAAGAGCCGGTTCTCTAAAAAGAGCCGGAAATCCCATCACTACAAAGCTCAGATTTGGCTGGTTTGTCTCTCAGGCCTCGTTGGTGTCCGAAGGAGTTCAGGTTATTTAACCATGTTTGTTTCCCGAGGTGTGTTTGTTGTTAAGCAGTTCGTGCTGGGACCATTTTCTATCACCCACTCCATCCATTCATTTATGCATTTAACCAAATATGAGGTCTATTATTGTTATTATTATTTTTTTATTATAATTGCACCTAAATAATGTAATATTAGGGAACAATAGGACAGTTGAAGGTGAGAAAACACACTATGTTTTATTTCAGTAACCTCACTCAGACTCTATTGGTTTCACCCTCTTCAACAGATTTTAGCTGATGAGCCCAGCTCTTCTATGTGATGCCTGTATTACATGAAACCTGTTTTACTAAATAAAAAGATTGCTCTAACAAATGGGTGGTTATTATCATAAATATTAAAAAAAACTTCAATGAGTATTATAGTCTCTTTTCATGCTGTCTGTACGGACTGTATCTGTGGTTCTGAATTGCGGTTAAAATCAGAAAATTAGCAACAGTGCCCTCATAATAGGAAACATCTTATTGAACTAAATGTGTTTTTCTGAATTACCTGTTTTTGCTAAAGCCATGCTTACGTGTTTATAGGAATTTTAATGCAAACAAGACTTTGTGGATATATAATAGAGGTGTGAATCACCATACATCCCACGATACGATATTATCACAATACTTAACGCACGATACGATATTATTGCAATTTTTTAAAATATTTTGCGATATTCAGATTCTGTACATAAAGGTAAACTTTATCAATATTCATTTTATCTAATATCAAAGTCTCGCACTCAGTCTTTCTCTCATTTCAGTTTTATTGTTGACAAACTGAACGTTTGTATTACAGTCTAGTCCAACTTAACTGAATGCAAATTAAAATTAGTAAACTGTCATGTTTATTGCTGCCAAAAAAAAGTTAAACACATTTGGACAGTGAAGGAATGTCAGGATTCTTGCTCAGAAAAAGGATCAACATGCTCTGAAGTCAGAGCACAAAAACCTTTTTTGTAACAAAATATAAATTTCTGCTGTCCCTGTATCGATACATTATTAGCAAACAAAATATCACGATACTACACAGTATCGATTTTTTCCCCCACCCCTAATATATAAGCAGTCGGAGCTAGAAAAAAGATATATAATTTCTTTTGGGAGAAATAAATCAACTACTTTAGATCTCTCTGCATTGAATCATACTTGTTATTAATCGCCGGCTCTCTTCCACAGCATGCCTTTTATCCCATCTTCCTTCTCTCTCCATAACCGGTCGTGGCAGATGGCCCCGCCCCTCCCTGAGCCTGGTTCTGCCAGAGGTTTCTTCCTGTTAAAAGGGAGTTTTCCCTTCCCATTGTTGCCAAAGTGCTTACTCATAGGGGGTCATATGATTGTTGGGTGTTGTTGTTGGGTCTACCTTACAATATAAAGCGCCTTGACGTGACTGTTGTTGTGATTTGGCGCTGTATAAATGAAACTGAATTGAACCAAATCCCTCTCAAGTAAGCTCAAAAACAGTTAACATACTAGTCTCTGTGTGCATAAAGCAAGAATGAGAGAAGGCAAAGTTAAAATTAAAAACAAAAGAAAAAAGAAGTCCAATTTGCATGGATGCAAAAAGCAAATTACAGGCTTGAGGCAGTTCCATACAAAGTCACTGAATATAACCGATGACTTTTACATCGCCGGATGGTATAAATGGAAATTTCTGGAGGAATTTCTGCTTATTCTGTTGCTTTACGATAGTGCTTCAAAGATACAGAGATAAGAGAAATAATAAGAGTGACTGGGTGGAAATAACAGATGTGCTTCGTTTGAATGGCTAAAGTCTGCACAGATGGTGCACTGGCTGTTTGGGGAAAATTCACAGGGACTGAAAAACATTCCTGTGGTCAAATTTTCAGAAAAATTCATTTTACTGTTCTGGATATTCAATTTTCCTTTGACAAAAAATACAAAAACAAATATTGCTAGCACTTATTTCCGAGCAAACCGCAAAGGTTTTTATTGATTTTTAGAGGGTGAGACTTCTGTGGAATCACCGAATACGATGTGAAATTCAGAACATTGAAGGCAGCAAGAAGCAACAGTAAAGGCAGGCATTTATTGTTCGCATTAGGAGCTTTCTTATCACAAAATAAGCAATTTCTCAGCAACGGTGTAACAGCAAACAAACATATTGTTTTCACATTTTGTTTTCAGCCTCATAAATCCAGAAGTGTAAATTCACTGCACTAGCAGTTTGGAGGTTTGGGGCGAAGGCGAATCATCTGTATGCACACCAAGGTTACCGCAGCACTCGATTCTCTGCCTGGCTCCTCACTTTTCAGGCCTCTGCTTGTGAAAAGAATCTCGTTTTCTCTCCCTGCCCGGTGACCATGTGTTAAGCCACAGTGGGTCTTCACATGTACTTACACAAAAAAAAGCTCCGAAGCCTGTGCTACAAAGGTCTGTAGTTGATATGGGGCCATCAATAATTAATTAGAAACATTTAAAGTTGCCCCCTTGTGGAGGCATCTCTTAGGCAAATAAGTAATTAGAATGGTTGTCCCCCATGTAATTACAGCCTGAAGTCTGGGCCGCAGCTTCATTACCATATGAACACGTACAGTAAATCCTATGAACTGTGAAAAGTGAGTCCTACCTACTCCAGAAACTCAGCCTTATGTGTGCTATCGGGGTTTAGGCAAGACACACAAAAACAGGCCTGGAGGAAATCAAAGAGGGGGAGCAGTGGAGTCTTTAAAGCCCGCAGAAGAGACTTCGCATTGATCTGAGTCATTTTGCTGAAGGAGGACGAATAAAACTAGATATATACAAGGCAAAAATAACATCCTACCCCCAGTGAGGATAAGTGTGTGTTATGTGAATTCAGTTGTTGTCATTGTTGTGGACTTTTTTGCGTTAGTAATGACGTTAGCTTACCTCATACTGTGTGATGAGACCGTTTGGCTCTACGGGTTCCTCCCACTTGAGGAATATCATGTCGTCGAGCGGGGTGAAGGTCAGGGACTCTGGAGCGATGCCGCCAGGAACTACGGCAGGAGAGAAAACAACCTTCTTTGAAACAAACAGTCCACTCGGGTCTCGAGTTAATAGACTCTTGGGCAGGCATGCCGGGGGCTAAAAACACCTTTGACAGAGTGAAAAGGCACAG